CAGAGCCTGGAGCCTGTTTCCGATTCTGTGTCTCCCTCTCTCTCTGCCCCTCCCCCGTTCATGCTCTGTCTCTCTCTGTCCCAAAAATAAATAAACGTTGAAAAAAAAATTTTTTTTAAAAATAAAAAGAAAATCCTGCCATTTCTGCCAACACGGATGAAACAGGAGGGCATTTTGCCAGGTGAAATAAGACAGTGGAAAATAGCGTATGGTATCACTTATATGCACAATATAAAAGAAACAAACAAAAACTGATTTTATAGAGACAGAATAGAATGGCAGCTGTTAGGAGCTAGGAGGGAAGGGGAGATGGGGCGATCCAGGTCAAAGGTACAAACTTTCAGTTATAAGAAGTTCTGAGGCTCTGGGGGCACCTGGGTGGTTCAGTGGGTTAAGCATCCAACTCTGGTTCAGGTCACGATATCACAGTTTGTGAGTTCAATCCCCACATCGGGCTCTGTGCTGACAGCTGAGAGCCTGCTTTGGATTATCTGTCTCCCTCTCTCTTTGCCCCTCATCTGTGCTTTATCTCTCAAAAATAAATAAAACATTTTTTAAAAAGAAGTTCTGAGTCTCTAATGTACAGCAGGGCGACTATAATTAATTATACAATATTGTATATTTGAAAGTTACTGAGAGTAGATCTTAGGCATTCTCACCGAGACAGAGAGAGAGAGAGAGAGAGAGAGAGAGAGAGAGAGAGAGATACCTATGCAAGGTGATGGATATGTTAATCATCTCTATCTTAGCAACCATTACATAATGCATATGTATATCAAAGCATCATCACGCTGTGTACTTTAAATATATACAATTATATTTGTCAATTATTCCTCAATAAAGATGGTCGTGGGGGGTGAACAACCATCACAATGGACCTGGGGGGGGGCAGGAAAAGGTCAATATGCCCCTCCCCTCATCTACCCTCAACTTCCCTCTGCACTGGGTTATGAAACAGGAACATTCATAGAGATAGACACACTAGTATATGGATGGCTATTAACAGTGTTCTAGTGTAAAACAGCAAAACCCAGGAAAAAATATTCTGCTGCAGCAAAACGTCAGGGCAAGTCTTATTTCCAGG